CTGTCTATGCTCGGCGCAAATACGGCATTGTTCGATTTTTTGCTTAAGGGGATGCTGGAGCCGTCTGTTTTACCGGCATTTTTTGTCGGCACGTAGCGTCGTATTAATTTGACAGAATTAAAAATCCTTCTCCAGAATTGCAGTACATACATTAATGATTCGGGGAAACTCCGATTTTATATAGAAAACGAGAAAAAATTACGGAAGTACAGATTTCCTTATCCTACTCTTATCCCAATATGGCGTCTCGAGTTGCGGCGAGCTGTCAGCTCGTCACAAGATGTATTTCATATAAGAGATATACCATTGGTACGAACGCAAAAACAAGTTTCCCCGAATTGCACAACAAGAAAAACATCGATAAACCCCCCAAATCAAGATTTGGAAGCGTAATATAAAAGTATAATGTCGGTGTGCATCGTGCGTATGTGTGCGTGCAATGTAGCGTGCTATCCTTGTCTATATCTTTGTCTATACAAGGACAGATATAGTTCGCCGGTCTTCTTTACCGACGCCGATCGAGTTCGGCTACGGCTCCAGCATCCCCTTAATGTCATTTGAAATGCCTGGCCACCACAAGCTAGATTTCGCGCGTTCACGACACTTGACAATACCTTGGTGGTCCAAATGAAGCGCTTCTAAAGCCTCCTTTCTTAGATTAGCCGGCACTAGCACTCGAGGTCCGAACATAATTAATCCCTCATTAATGGATAGATTATCTTTATACTGAAAATACGGTTTGATATTTGCCTCCAATTTCTCCTTATTACTCCATCCCGAGACGATAAGAGATTTCAGTTTCTGACATACCATGTCGTTCTGTTGACCTAGTAATAATTTAGCCACAATCAGATCCGACAAGCCGCAGTGTTGTACAGCCATACTCACATGAGCTTCAACTTCTTCTTCTAAGTCTGAAGCTTGAACGAGGTTAATCTTCACTGGCGCGCGACTCAAATAATCAGCCGCTATTATTTCCTTTCCTGGAGAGTGAAACACCTCAAAATCATAATGCATCAGTCTCATTCTAAAGCGTTGCAGACGAGAACTTAATTCATCGAGGTTTTTCTCCTGGAGCAAAGGAATTAAAGGTTTATGATCAGTTTCTAAACTAAAATGTACGCCATAAATAAATTCATGAAATCTTTCGCAAGCCCAAGTCAACGCCAGGGCCTCCTTCTCAATTTGCGCATAACGTTTTTCCGAATCACTCAGGGTTCTAGAAGCGAATGCCACTGGTCTCCAGGCTCCACATGTTTCTTGAATACGTAGGATTGCGCCTAGTCCATAAGAAGATGAATCTGCTGTTAATACAATTGGACGTGATGAGTCAAAAATAGCAAGGCAGGGTGCTGACGTTAACTTTTGGATAATCTCCGAAAAAGCCTGCCTATGACGTCTTTGCCACTCGGACACACACTTTGGAGATTCTAACTTTGTAATAGCGTCGATTTTGCTCGGATCTATTGAAATCCCGCTAGCACTAATTACGTGTCCCAAAAATTTAGTCTCCTGAACACCAAAAACACATTTTGCGTTATTCAGAGTCACGTTATTTACCTCAAGTCTTTTAAGCACTTGACGGAGACGAGCATCATGTTCGGCACGAGTTCTGCCCCAAACTATGACGTCATCGAGATGATTAGCCACTCCTTCCAAGCCCTCCAAGATTCTTGAAATTCTCTTCTGATAATGTTCCGGCGCTGAAGAAATTCCAAACGGTACACGTAAGAAACAGAATCTTCCAAACGGAGTAATGAATGTTGTCAACAATTGAGACTCTTCCGATAACGGCACCTGCCAGAACCCGCTAACGCAATCGAGCTTCGAAAAATATTTAGCGCCCGGCATCTGACCAAAGGTATGCTCTACGACTGGCATAGGATGATTTTCCCGAGCCAGGGCGCGATTTAAGAAGGTTAGGTCCACGCACACACGAATATCGTCGGTATCGCGTTTCTTGACAAGGACTATTCCGCTGCACCATTCTGTCGGCACATCCACGGGCTTAATCACGCCTAACTTAAGCATTTCGTCGAGTTTCTGCTTCAATTTAGACATCAAAGGTAAGGGTACACGACGAGGCTGATTCAAACAATAAGGCTTAGCGTCCGGCTTTAACTTAATATTATAAGGCGTAGCTAAAAGCCCTAGCCCGGTAAACAACGATGGGAACTCTATGAAGGGGTCGATCGCGACAGCAACTTGCCTGCATCGCGCAATTAACCTTAAAGAGACGCATTCTCTTCGGCCCAACAAGCACTGATCTATATCGCGAGCGACATAGATGTGACGGCTGACTTCAGTTTGACGAAATTTTAACTGCACTTTAAACATTTCTTCCGTTTCTAAAAGTTTTCCTGACGGCCCAATTAACTTCTTGTCCGCTGGTACGAGTTTATAACCTTGCTGACGTAAATATTTATCCCAAACTGGTGATCTAATAACAGTCACGTCAGCGCTACTATCGAGTCTAAACTTTACCGGTATATTACCGACGCGGATGATTTCTTCTCATTGCGTACTCTCGTCGTTTTCTTTCACCGTTCCGACGAAGTAATAGTCCGAGTCATCGGTTACTGCATTAACCTTAGCGTTTGGCAGAGAAGAATTTCCGGTCTTCGGTCCTTTCTTGCAAACTTTAGACCAATGACCGATCTGACTACACTTATTGCACTCTGACTTGCGCGCGGGACAGGAATCTCGCTTGTGCTGCTTGTTTCCGCCACAGAAATAACACTTCCAAGATTTGCCGCCAGTCTTACTTTTCTCTGAGGATTGTTTCTTCCCTTTTGATTGGACACGGTTAATGGAGGTGGCGTTCGCAGTCATTTCCTGATGTAATTCACGGTTCTGCCGTAAGACCGTTTCGTAGCTCCTAGCCATTTCCAGAGCTTTCTTGTAGTTCAGGTTATCTTGTAACTGCATTTTTTCCGAGAGTCTTATATCGCGAACTCTAACCACAAGCTTATCACGTATCATTTTTTCACGCGTATCACCGTAATTACAGTATTTAGCCAGCTTATGTAAATCCGTTATGAAATCATCTATGGATTCACCTTCTTTTTGCATACGGCGATTAAACAATGCACGCTGATAGATGGTATTCGTACGCCCGTTAAAGTAATCCGTGAACTTGCGAACCACCGAGGGATAAACTGTTTTGTCGTTTTCCGACTCCCACGTGAATGAATTGTAGATTTCTTCCGCTCTTGGACCCATAGCGTATAGCAAACAGTCGACCTTGACTTTATCTGTTGCAACGTTAGCCACTGTGCAATATCTATCAAACATAGACTTGGATGTGTCCCAATAAGCGGAGTTGTCGAACGGAAATTGTTCCGGCAAGGGAATATGTGTAGAGCTAGCCATTTTTAATGCACTTCACGGACTGAATCGACTTTTCTTCTCACACTTATTCGGTAGAGTTTTAGTTTACCGCTGCCACCATGTTATGTATCTATTCAAAGTCTTTATTATAAGCTTAGTACACGAGGCGTCTTTACATGTCGATCATCTTGGCTACTCTCTCTCACCTACCACACGTATCTCTCCGCGCCCCCTATTCCCTAGTGCGCACGACAATAAGCCCAGAAATCCCTAACTAGACTATTATCAGAGAGAAACCTGAGAGCGGCCATCCGGCTTCGAGGGACGTCTGTCCTAATCTGCCCTCTGAGAAAGTGGACGTCAACTACGGCGTTACGCTCGGTAACGATCAGAGAGGACTCGGGTAACGATACATGGGTTCGTATCCATGCTATGGTTCGTGTCCGAACTACTCAGATGGAGGGGATATGCTGGTCGCGCAAGCCTTTCCTCTGTCCGTGTACGCTAGGCCCTCGGCAAGCTTCGAGCGGGGAGAGAAGGGCAGACATACGATCTGCTGTCTCTCTTGAGCTGTGACGTTGCCGCTTTGCACGGGCCGGCTTGCCGGCTATACCACGATGCCACGCATTTCAGGTATCGCGTCTCGTGTCTCGCCGAGTGCCGAGTCTCGAGTTGACAAATCGACGATATGCTATACCCGCTATATACGTTACATTTGCTTGTATACAAATTTTAATTTTTATATTTATAATTAAATAAATAAATATATATATATGTATATATATTTGAAATTTATAAATATATAAAGATTGCAAATATAATTAATTAAATAAATATTTGTAAACATAAAAACTAAAATTAGTAAATGTAATGTACAGAAATCACCGTTCTATGTTTTTCTATCTAAAAAAGTCTTACATTAAAAACCTTTACTTTGCATAATAAATTTTAAATACAATATTTAAATGCATACCAATAATTATATTATTAACTATATTAAGAAAAAAATGGTAGTTTATAATGTTTCTTGCACTCTTATTAAATTTATTTTACCTATGCATGTTCAAGCGGCCAAATTACGAGCAACAACAGAAGGATAATTGGATAAAAATAAAAACACTTTCTTAAATAAACAATACACATGGGTAACAGTGAGTTCTATTATAATTCTCGTATAGTTCTGAACGTGTTCTAACGTTTATTTCTAAAGAGTTCTGACAATAAGCATTATTTATTCATATTTTAAATAATTTTTATCGACCAAGAAAGACGCATTTACGGGTATGTGGGTGAGACGCTGTAGAAAATCTCGGAGTTCTGGCTTATATAAAATATTTTTCGTACAGTTCTAAGCATATACTAAGACAATTTCTAAAGAGTTCCGGGCATTGGCAATGTTGTATAATTTTTTAATAAATTAATAACGCACGAAAGTCAGGAATTTATCGAGAATAGGGTCTTTCTCGAGCGATAAGAATTATTTAAAAAATGAATAAATAATGCTTATTGCCAGAATAAAATGGGATAACGTTAGGACACGTTCAAAACTACACGAGAATTATAGCAGAACTCACAGAACTGCAGAAATACGGCCAGCTTCTCATCTTATTTTCGATAAATTCCTGATTTTTGAGCGGTATTAATTTATTTAAAAATTATACAACGTAGCTAGTGTTTGCTAAAGTTAATAAACAGATATATACAACGTAGCTAGTGGCGTGAACTCTTTAGAAAATGCTTTAGTATGCTCAGAACTATACGAAAAATATTTTATATAAGCCAAAACTCCGAGATTTTGCACAGCGTCTCATCTTCTTCTGTCATGATTACTTTTCGGTTAATATTAGTTTTTTTAAATATAACACAAAGATTCTAACGCTCGGAACTCTTTAGAAAATGTTTCAATATGCTCAAAACTACTCGAAAAATATTTTACATAAACCGGAACTCCGAGATTTCAACTGGCATCTCAACCGGTATACTCGTTGCATTGTAATTTTTGTTTAGTACCTTATAATTAATTTTTTTGCTTTTATACGGCAGAACTCTTTATAGAACTGTTATAGAACTATAGATCTTGCAAAATCTAATGAGATAAACTCTTTATAGAACTGTTATAGAACTATAGATCTTGCAAAATCTGATGAGATACAGTGGTGGAACTTGTGTAGGACAAAATGAGACGCTGCGTGAACATAGCGTCTCAGTTTGTACTGACGCGTTTTTTTAAAGAAGCCAGAACTCTCAATAATTTGTGAGTTTCTGCAAAATGAGACGATAGCTTCACACACACGTTAGGAAGAGAATGTATAAAAAATTATTAACGGAGATATTTTAATTTAAAAGATCATTAAAATATATATTTTTCAGGAATGTTTTATAAAGAAACGAAGAAAGTGAATAACGTTAAACTTTGCATGTTCTCTTCACATCATTTTAAAAATTTATTTTTATTTTTTAAGTAACAAAAATGCTCTTTTTTCTGTTATATTCTGGTCACTATAAATGACAGACGATGTAAATAATTCTAGCTGTTTTAGGTATCTGAAACGCAAAAAGCTAAAATTTTCTTATTCTGCAGGAGAAGTGTGGCTATCGTCTGAACTAGAACTAAATCAATATTTCCATTTTGAGCGGCTTTTTTATTTAAAATATTATAACTTTTTTCAAAATTTTATTAGTATTTTATTAAAAGAAAATGTTTATTCTAGTTCAGACGATAGCCCATATCACTTATTCTGAATAAGAAAATTTTTGGTTTTTACATTTCTGATACCTAGAACAGCTAGAATCATTTACTTCGTCTCTCATACTTACGTCTTTTAGTGATCAAGATATAATATAAAAGTAACAAAAAAGAAGAATATTTTTCTTAATTAAAAAATAAAAATAGATTTTTAAAATAAGATTAAAAGAACATGCAAATTTTAACGTTATACGCTTTCTTCGTTCCCCTATAAAAAAAGTCCTGAAAAATACCTATTTTTAAAGACCTTCTCCGGCTCCAGTCATACTCAACTTGTATTCATGCTTAAAAAGTAAATTTTATTTTACTACAGTTAATTTACTAAATATTACATATAACAACTAAAAAATAAGAAGTTAACTTCAAATCGCGTACTTTACACAAGTATTTCTCGAAAACGAGTACCGCAAGGGTATTGAAACTTATCGCATATTATTAATTTCTATTTTTATATATAAAGCATCATATACTAGTCTTTCAAAAACATTTAGAAAAAACTCTTTTCACAATTTATTAAAATGTCTGTTTCACAATACCTCGGAATAGGAATTCCGTGTTGAAAGTTAAAACTTTGAAGCTCAATATCTCGATTTTTAATACCGCAAAAGGTACTAAAATTTATACTACACATAAAGCACACTTATAAATTAATGTATACTCACAGTTTCAAGAAAATCTAGAGAAAATCGATTTTCCGGAGAACGTCCTTAAGATCTTTCAAACCAGAATACGCTCTTGTAATTTATTATTTGTCATTAACATATTTTATTATTAATCACATACATATAAGTGTGAGATAAAGCATATGGTACAAAATAATTTCAATATTCAAATTATTGTAATAATAATAAAAAAAATCAATTATTTACATTTTCTTCTGTGTGTGTATGTGTGATGTTATTGACAATAGTTTCTTTGCACGTTTACATTTCTTTCGCAGATTTTTTACACGCTTAATTTTTACAAGTGTGATGTCAAATACAGACAAGATTTTTGTTTATCTGCTATAAGCGTTATTTTGAATGTAAGATTTTAATAATCAAATGTTTTTAATAATCAAACATTTTCAAACTGCAAGCGAGGGACAAGCAATATCATCTACCGCATGTATCCTTAAAATACTACGATCTTTTCTAGCAGCACTAGCCATTAGCGTATAATTTGTCCGCCGACATTACTAATTTCTTCTGCAGCAACACATAAAATGTTGAACAGTTTTCTCGAAAAGTTGTAATAACATCTGTATGTCCTTGCATTATTAATTCGTTAAGGTATTGCTCACATTCTCATTCTATTAACAAAATTTTGAAAAAAGTTATAATATTTTTAATAAAATTTAAAACTATTAATTTAGAAATTACACCTTCTGACCAAAAGCGTTGGTCGAAATTAATAATGTCTCGATGATTGATCCGAAAAAGTGCTGTGTGAATTTGACAAAGCGAGTTGGCTCTCGATTTTTTCAATGTTCATATCGGTAAAGACGTTATATATTGCCAGTTACTGTCGATTTAAGCTGCTTTAACTGTTATTCTATTCACTGGCGAAATAAATTTATTATTCTGATTTTTAATAATACAATATAAGAGAAATAAGACCGTTTTATGTGACCGTTATACAATCAATCAATATTAAATAAGCCGTGTACGATCCAAGCTTGAATCTTAATAGCCTAATAATATTTTTTATGTATAATTACACATATATTTTTTCCAATCTTAATAAATTGCGCGCTGACTAACTTGTCAGACTTACAACACAGCTCCTGTTGGAGTAGTAAATTCTTTACTATTATTTGAATCGATTTAATTAGAGGGGTGTGAGGGGATTTTATTAATCCAATAGGAGCTGTGTTGTAAGTCTGACAAGTTAATCGGCGCGTATTATAGTTGATTAAAGTTGGAAAAATATGTAAATATAGTATATAAAAAATATTATTAGGCTACTATAAAATCTAATCTCAGATCGTAAATGGTTTATTTAATATTGATTAATAATATTTTTGATAAAAAAGCCGTCTAGAGAACCTAGAATGAAAATATTGGTTTAGTTCTAGTTCAGACTATAGCCA